GCTGTGCTTGATGGGGTGACCAGTTTGTTGTTCAGAAATACTTCAACTTGTGAGAATAATGCATGCATCCAAAGGTTTGAAGGTCCAACTTGAATGTCTGCACCCACATTTCCTCCGGCCGCAGTAGTGATCTTTGCTTTAACGTATAGGTAACTGCTTGCTAAGTCGGTATAAACTCCAGAATTTGCAGCACATAAAAATTCTATCGTATCTGAAGAAGATAAACTCGTAATAGGATCAATATCTTCCCAAAATCCTTTTTCCATTACCACTTGAGTCGGTGGAATAGAAAATAAATCGAGTTCAGATTTTGAGCATATACAGGAGTCTTTATGCATTGTTTCAAGAGCCATGCCACTTTGGACTATAGTTGTCGAGAGATGTTTTCTGCTTCTTGGTTGGACCGCGAATGGGAGTTTTAGCAGGCGCTGCTTTTTTTATACCCTTTTTGCGACCATTTCCGGTCATTACTTTCTTTGCAACATCAGATACTGCTTGTTTTCCTCGTGATTTAAAAGCTTCTTTTACCTTTTTTCCTTGGAGTACATCTTGACCGACTTCTGTGGCTGCTTGCAATGCTCTTTTGCCAACAACTTTAGCGCCTTGCTTGAACAGAGGGATAGCATATCACGCAAGGCTTTTAAAAATACTTCCGATCCCATATCCCCTTTGCATACGTGCACCACGAAACCCAGCGATATTCCCACCACGCTGTTGTCTCAAGAAATGGTCTTTCAATAGTTTAGCATCCACAACTAGTCTTCCGCGCATTTTTAGATAAAGTACTGAGATCTCTTCTGTCTAAAGTGAAGTGTTGCGATTGACTTCCCGAACTCAAATGAGACGTTTTCGTTTTGGTCATTCTTTATATTCACTTCAATGGTCTCAAAAGAATTTACTTTGACCGGTACGTATTGCAAATTACGAAAACTGGCGTGAACGGTGTTTCCATATTCCCCTTCGATATTAACGATTCGTAGTAAAGGTACTTTCACATCGCCCACAAACTGTGCATCAGCGATATCAGTACAGACATACATGGAGGAAAATCCACCACCGATATCTGCAGGATAGGGACTCGACGTTTTCTTTTCAATAAGTGTGTCCTGGTCAAATCCCAAGACCGTTGCTAATTCTCCGGTAAACCACACAGTTGTGTCGGGTTTTACATCAACCAAAACTTTGCGAGAACTACGATTATAACTAAACTTTACTTTCGTTTGTGTTTCTTTTGACATGCCGGCATTGAGTGCTTTTGTTAGTTGCTCAATAGAAGAATATTGTGTTTCTTTAAGCACGACAGTTTGATAAGGGCTACTGCCAATTTTATATAAAAACGTTTGTTGCACTCCACGTTTTAGCGTGCTCCACGTATGTGGGTAATGCAGTTCCGTCAATGCCACTTCCCATTGGCCTGGCAAGACAATGGTTTCGGCCAATTTCACTCGAAAATTTGCCACTGTATTATTTTGAAAATAAGCCATAGAACTATTACTCGGTAACGTGAGATAAAACTGTGTTGCCATATTGAAGACCAACACACAAATGAATACAAGTTATGAGTTTCAAATATATTTATTTCAGATCTTTTACACTCTCTGCTGGTACCCAAGAATTAAACTTGTCAGGGTAACCCAACCATTTTACATAATACTCTTTACGTTTATTACGCATGCGTGATCTTATTACTTTTTCTACTCTATAATAGTCACTGTCTGATTTGTTGACTTTCTGAAGTTCCTGTTCGTAAAATGTTCCTTCCAGTTCTTCACCGTCATAATCTCCAATCTTGTAAACAGGCGGTCGTCGAGGCACGCGTTTCGTTACCGTGAACACTTCTTCAGTCCAATTGGGCAAGTATCCTTTCTTAAATGTTCGCTTTGCTTTGCTAATCCGGACTTGGTCCCCAATGTTAAACTTAAACTGGATTGATTTTTACGACTCCTTCCCGTAGAGTGTTTGCCACACAATATTCTCGTTACTTTTATTCACATCTACCGGTCTCATACCAATACTACGATGTCGAGAACGATTATAAGATTTGACCAGTTTCTGGAGAATGTCCACGTACTTGAGCGTATTGTTCGCTGTAAAGTATTTCCACATTTTCGTCTTGAGCGTACGATTAAACCTTTCAACAATCGATGCCCTGGTTTCGTTGTACGTCGTAAAAAATCGAATGCTATGTTTCCTCAAAAAGGTTTGAAACTGTCTATTGATAAACTCCGTCCCCTTATCAGTGTGAAACATTCTCGGTTTACGCCCTTTCTTGATTATTTTCTCAAAGGCTTTGACAAGATTGTTCCCAGTTTTTGCTTTTATCGCTTCAACCCACGCATATTTGCTGAGTACATCAATAACAGTTAAAACGTACTTGTACCCATTATTCTGTTGACTTAATGAATCCATAATGACTAAGTCTGCCTCCCACTCATCATCCATGGCTCCAACTATAACACGGTTACGCCTGAAGCGATATCTGACAGGTTTATGCAATGAATAGGCATCTTGCTTTTGTAACCATTGGCGTATTTTATTCCGCGATATCTCATATTTCCCTTCGTTTTTCACGGTGCGATAAACGGAATCTACGCCACCAAAACTTGCGGGGCTTTCTGGATCGTAATAGATCTGGCTTAGATATTTCTCCGCCATCGATGTCTGAGGCTTGAATTACAATTTTTCCACCACAGCAAGCAGAAATACAGCGTACTTTTCGAAAAATGTTTCGAAGAGAGATTTGTGGTAAACCTTTACAGCAAGGCATCCTTACTCTTCCGAGGTTTGAACAAAATGAAACATCCAGTAATTATAGACTGATATATAAAGCTATCAGTGTGAGTGTGAGTGAGAGTGTTATTAAAATTGGACGTTTACTTCGTTTATGTTTGGGAATAGTAAAAATTCGACATGCCTCGATGGTTTTTTGTACATTGTGGCGAATAGATTCCTCGCTATCATTTTGTACACATACCAAAGCTAAATAGGCAATAATACAACCAAAGTTTGTTACATTGATCTCTCTGTAGATTTGGTCAAGGTTTAGATCACGAGCATTTACTGCACGATATAGATCTCGATGGCGGTCGAGAATTGTATTTATATGAAACGATAAAGTTTGCTTATCAATATCAATTTCATTTCGTTTCAACTCATCAAAAATTATATCTATGTTATCCATGATACTCTCCCCACAACGATTGAACAACAAGTGAGACACACAGTATTTATTTCAGTAAATATATGCAAATTTACATTAATTAACTAGCAACGTATTATTATTACAAGAGGTCTATTTTATCAAGTTCACTTGTTAAACCAAATCTACGAAATTCATCATAGGCCTCCTTAGTGTTAGATTTAGAACTATTAAATGTCTCTCCTGTTTCTTCAACCATGTACTGGTATTGTAGTGGATTACTGAAGAGCACGATGCCAGTGTTGGTCACCCGAGGGCCTTGTTGCTTCCATTCGAAGAAACCACAAGAGTCGTCCTTCGGACAGCAGTAAAACAGACGGTTTTGATTCGGACCATCTTTCTTGACTTTTCGTTCACAGCACACCATTCCATGTTGACATAACGGTCTTGGACCTTCGAACACGTCTCCCCATTGCCAGAACCTGCAGGGATCCTTTCGCTCAGAACATACGAAGAAGGGTCGTCCATAACTATCTTTCATTGTGTCTTTGACCACACATAACTTGGCAAATTTCTGATGTGTAGAACACACGGGATGTATAGAACCACTTGCACGAAACGCAGCTACAGCTCTCGTATACATATAACAATTTTCGTCTGGGCAAAAGAATTCACAGCTTGGCTTTTCCCCACAAAACCAAAATGTACCATTGTTTGTAGTTGTAGAAATAGCAGCTTTTCCATGTAGACACTCCATGACTGATGTAGAACTAATGCAAAACTATGCTTGTTACAAGACGCTTGTCGATTTTATACAGACGCTCGTTAAATCAAACAACCAATCATAGTAAGCCAACATTAATCCCGCCATTGTATCATACACGAGGAGTGACGCTAAAAAACGCGTGGTCAGCAAGTTTTGTTCAATTTCGCCCGAACAGGCCCGCGTGACGTCATTGCATATAATTATGACGTATTGGAATACTAATTACCCTCCACACTCCACCGCCGCACTCCACCGCCGCAAAAATGGGGGTCGAACGGCCTCTATATTACTACTTACATAGCCATAGGTTTTTAGATTTTAGTACTGAATGAAAAAGCTGATATAAATTCTGCTCGCAGAAATAAATTGCAGGGACCAGTTGTATAAAACTCTTAATCACTTTTTTAATCACTAATTTGTAGTTAAATAGTGATTAACTCTCATATAGGCGCTTGTTATTGGATGACGTTTGCACTTAATCATAGTTAACTTTAATCACTTTTTTATACAACCGGCCCCAGAACTGTACGAAAGGTTTCGTTAGTCGTGTCATGTCATTGACATGAAAAATAAGAAGGTTGATAACAGGTTCACAATCTATTAAAGTTCTAGGTGGAAGTAGTCAGGATAGCAGTTATTATCAAATCCACAGATGTACAATTTCAAAAGCTTGTAAAACTTTGTTTCTATGGACATACAACGGAAGTATTCTGTTGTTATTTATTAAACCAGCACAGTGATATCCAAATTGCCAGGGTGTACAGTTATAGCCAAATTTCCTTTTTTTGAGCAAGATAAATTAGGCACTCCAAGAACATATAGCAGCAAAGTCACATAATGAAGGGCAAACACGAGTAGAAAATGTTTTGAAGGCTGAGAGTCATGTGATTATACAGTCCAATTTTCAAAATAAAATTGAATGGGGACAAGACTGAGTTACTAGTAATCAATGCACGAAATCGTTTATGCCCTGCTGTACACCATATAGAAATATCTAAGTCAATAGTTCAACCAAGTACTTCAGCACGAAACATCGGTGTAACCTTCGATCAACACATGTCCATGGATAAACATATTACCAACATTTGCAAGAACTGTTTTTCCATTTGAGAAAAATAGCAAGAATAAAAGAGTACTTATCAAAATCAGATATCCAAACCCTAGTTCATGCCTTTATTACATCGAAACTAGATAATTGCAACTCTTTGCTATACGGACTACCTAAATTTCTTATAGATCGATTACAGAATGTGCAAAACTGTGCTGCTCGTCTGGTGACAGGAAGCAGAAAATATGACCATGTTACTCCATTAATGAAACAATTACATTGGCTCCCCATCAGTCAACGCATCATCTATAAAATTGTTCTTATCACGTATAAATCTCTGAATGGCTCAGCTCCACATTACAATAATAATATGCTAAAACCTTACACACCATCAGCAAATTTACGCTCCTCATCCAAAGGATTGCTTACCATACCTTCAGTAAAACTAGTGAACTATGGTGAACGATCGTTCTCATATGCTGCACCGAAACTGTGGAACGAACTGCCAGAGTATATTAGAAAGAGTGAGACCTTGCCTATTTTTAAAACCAGATTAAAAACACATCTTTTTAAACAGTATTATGACTAAGTTATTATTTTAACAAGATTATAGCAATTTTATAGTATTCTATATAGTTGTTGTTTTAATATTATCAACATAGATAACATAAAGTAATTTTATATTCTTAACGAGAAGAGCATATAATTATTTTTTAGTAATTTTATCTAGTATAGTAATTTTAGCAGTCAATGCATGCACTATGTTCTAACACTTAGTATATATTTTTAACACTTGATGTTAAGCGCTATTGAGCTATGGGAAATGGCGCTATATAAATGAATTATAATAATAATAATAATAATAATTCCAGGTTAATGTATAATAATCCATAGACTATTCAACAGTAAATAAGATTTACCAGATCCATATAATGAAATCCATATCAATACCCGGCTATGATAGGTTCAGTTCTGTACATTGAAGACAATTGATAAGATTGATCTGTAAGCTATGTGATTACTTTAAATGCTAAGTCCTTTCCTTGAAAATAGCATTAAATGAAGGTGTATGGCAAGTAGTTGCTCCTGCAAAGCTATCCACATAATATACAGTACATCTGCTTATGGTTGTATTCACCTAGTATAAAAAAACAGACAAATGTTAGATAACAAAAAGAAAATATTGGGCACAGAACACCATAAAATGGTAATAGGGGGGGGGGGTCAAGAAAAAACGGGGGGGGGGTCAAGAAAAAACGCTTACCTGGTTGTTCTGTTATTGGCATTGCAGTAAAATTGTTTGTAAAAAGTCTGTTTCGTTATCAATAATACAAGTATGTTATTGTATATAGTCCCAAATGTAATATTTATCACACCATTGTGAAGTATTGTTCTTGCCATTTGAAATATTGGATTTTTGTGCACTTACTCTCACGCTGAATGAAAACAATTAATTAAGGCACAAACAGCTTTATGATCTGAGAAATAAGTTTCTAAAATGTGTGAACTAACTTGTGACTCTGGTAGATTTGTATAAATATGATCTATTAATGTACGATTGTCTGTGGTGACATTAGAGACCAATTGCATGTAGTTATGATCATTGATAAAAAATCTATCTAAAGGCCTTCTATTGGCTTCATCCAACCAATTGATATTAAAATCACCAATGAAAATGTTAAATTGAGAAGTACAGAACCTCAAAACTTCATCTAATGCTGCACACAATTGTTGTACTGGAATTGTGGGTGATCGATATATACCAATTATAGTAACATGTGGAAGAATCATTGCCTTCATAATGGTTATTTCAATGCCATTGATATTATAACAACATGGATATCCAGGTAAGAATTCAACTCTGCTAAACACTGCCATGCCACCAAAGGGTCTGGTAGTCAAAGAGTGACCATCATTTCTGAACAAGGTGTAACCATCAATATCATACATACTGGCATTATCCGAGCGCATACATCGAGTTTCAGAAAAAATATTGATGTCTGTATTTGCAAAATTAAAATCATACCGAATATCGTCAATGTGTTTATGCAACGACCGTGTATTTAGATAGCACAGTTTGAATGAGACTTGGTCTGTCTTATAAATAGGAGTGACACTTAGTTTTTAGTACACGTTCATTTCTCAAATGTTCCATTTCAGCTGCTACATTAGGATTGACAGCAATTTTATCTTCACATAGGTCAGTGATAAATAAACCTTCAATTGCTGTTACCCTGCTCAAACCTACGTAATGTATATGAGGTATTGATCTTCTAGTGTTGAAATTTACAACAATTTTTTGTTCAGTGTCACCTTGTGAACGGTGAATTGTCTCTAAGTGGAAACTGTTTTCTGACAACTTGTGCAGTTTGGTTTCTACCCACAGCAAACTGAGTTGTGATTGGCTTTATTGGAGTCCATGTGGACTCAATACCTTGGACATAAAGATGTCTATTTTCATGTCTGGTTTTCTCTCCAACATCTGAATGGTCAAATTGGACCCATATTATACCGGAAGGTTTATCTATTTGATTCAATTGTATCTTTTTAACAACATTACCAGCACCATTAGTCATGCCATCATCAGTACGTATATTTAATGCTACCTCAGTTCTTTCCCCCACTGACAATTGAAGGTTTGAAGCAATTTGCTTAGTTTTCCTAGGATCATCTGGTATTTGACTCAAAATTTTATCTCGAAGTTGAGCAGAGTTAGCTCCTATAACACTGTCTATTGCTTTGATTGAAAACTTTTCACCAGTTGCTGCGTTGTGCACTTTTTCATAGAATTCATTTAACTTCTGATTTTGTATGAACAAGTGAGGCACATCCATGGGATCTTGGATGCTATTTTCTTTTATTAATCTTTCTTTCAGTTTCAAAATATCATCCTTAGTATGCTTTCCTTCCCTAAGTCTGTTTAATATTTCAGCAAACACTTTGCTCTCCCTTTGTCTCATAATTTCTTCCAATTCAAACATATTGAAGTTATCTTGCCATTTATTAGGAGCAAGAACTGCATATTCTGAATTGTCTAGATTCTTAAATATATACCTGTCCATTACAGGTTCCAGCTGAAATAAATCACCGATAACAACCATGCTTACACCACCAAAATCTTCTTTACTTCCTTTAATATCTTTCAGTCTATTATTTATTTGAACATTAAACATTGTACTACCAACCATTGAGATCTCATCCAAAAATATTAGTTTTAAACCACCAAGTTGACACCGTAAGGTGTTTAACCTGCTTGAATCAAGGTGTTTGTAATTCTTTAAAGATTGACATGCAGGTATTGAAAGTGCACTGTGTATTGTGTTACCTTTAATATTGTAAGCTGCTTTACCAGTTCGTGCAAGCATTAATATTTTCACTTGGTGGAAATCATCACCTACTCTTGTATTATAATACTTTAATGCTGCTTGATAAAGACACTTAGTGAGATGTGACTTGCCAACTCCTGCTCCTCCACTAAGAAAACAGTAAAATGGATTATCAGAAGTTTTAATAAGGTATAATACATGGTAGAAAAATTCCTTTTGTTCTTTATTTAATTTTTGTACCATTCCTCTGTAAACATCATCCTGTTCTTCATTTAATATCAACTGCTTAGTTGATGCAGTTGAAGGAATTTGAAGATCACCTGATAGGTCATAGTTTTCATTGAATTCTGGATGAAGGTCTTGTGTACCTTCAGATTCATCTTGGCGCTCAATGTTTTGTGTTCCTGGCGCAATCAGGTCATAATTTTCATTATTATCTTCCATATTGTGAAGTTGTTCTTGAATGTCATTCATGTCTTTACTACAAATAGCATAAAATTTCATTTGTTCTTCTATTATATTTTTAACTTGCAAATAGTGTTGCTCATAAGATGAATATTTTTTTATTAAGTTAGTTGCTTCATTTCTCCATGAAGTGAACAACATGATTAGTTCACGGTAATGTTTTTCAGAATCAACCTCTTTGTTAAAACAGACACTGCGGATAATTCTGGCCTTAGATCTTCTTTTACTCTTTTGTTCACTTTCATTTTCCTCATTATCATCATCATTAATATCACCGAAGTTTGTCTCAAGTGGATAATTATCAATGTCTAATTCACGAGATGGTTTGACATATGGCTTACCAGTGGAGTCATACCATGCAGCCCAATCAGCCAGAGACAAATTTTCAAGTTTGGCTGGTCGTTTTATGTAACGCCTTATTAAACCAGATGCATAAACCTCATCAGAATCATCTTCCATATCATTAATTTCTTGCAATGGTTTTAGTAACTGAACTCTATCCTCAGGGGGTGACGTATTCACAAATACTACTTGCCGAGACGATTTCCTCATTGGAAGTTGCAGTACAATGTAGACTGCTTCTTGTGCACTTATTTCAACATTGTTTAAAAACCTATTTCCAATATCTCTTACTTGTTGCTTAATACTGGAATTCCCCCTTCTTGCTTCTTCACAAGCTGTTCTCAATAAGTCACTCATGCCTTTTTGAGCTTTGGATATATAAGATACAATGTACATCGCACATGCATATACATCAAGCACAAACTGAATATCCATGTTTGCACGAGACATGCAGCATTATAATTATTGACCCTTAGTTCATTTGGTTTTCTTTCTAAGAATATAGTTGGTGCCTGAAGACTGGATCGAATGGCTAGCAAATAGTTTTGCTCTGTCACTTTCAGTTTAACCAATAACTGCTCAAAGGTAATGTCTTCACCATCCTTCATCTCATTCAGGTGTTTCTTAATAAACTTCCAAGTATCTTTATGTTGACCAAGTTCATTATCATCCATATCATCTATATCTAATGGGTACAGAATTTTGGTTAACCTCATAGGTGGTTGTGGGTAATTAAAACGACACACACTTTTGGATTTCTTTCTACATGTGTGAGAATGGCGATGAACTTGCCTGTTTACAAGTGCGAGTAAATCTGGATTCGCAGTTGGCTTTTCACATGTGATTATCTTATCAATGAATTCGATGACATCACAATCAAAATCTTCACCAAATGTGGGAGCATTTTCTAGCCATATTAACATATGAATATGTGGAGATCCTCTTTGTTGATATTCAACTCTGTAGAACCAGTCTGCAATTTTCCCTAGAGGTGCAGCTTCACTGAGGAGAAAATGTTGTATAAATTGATTTATTTGATAATCAAAGTGTCTTGCACATGTCACTGGGTCACTCTGAATTAATCTGCTTTTCTCTTCCCAATGTAATCCTTGTTATCAACAAACAGTGTAATCCTTGTGTAATCCTTGTATAATCCTTGTGTATCCCAGTGTAATCCTTGTTATCAACAAACTTGCCAAGTATTCTAAGGAGATGAATCCATTGGGTTTCTGCAGAAGAGAAACTACAAAATAATGATGCAGGACCTAACTGCCTTATCATTGCAAATATATCCTTTTTGGCCTTTTCAAATATGGAGGAGAACCCCTCAGTGCTCTTAAAAATTTAAACCCTTGATCATGGTGAATCATATTGTCTATTGCTCCTGGTTGCTTAAGTTGGCCAGCAGTAATTGTGCCATGATTTCTGTGGCATTTTCGCAAAGCGACTTGAGATTGTCCAAGTAAAATTTTCATTTGCAGTTTCTTTGTTTTGAAGAATATATTTTCTACACACATTGCAGCTCTTCGATCAGATCTTCTTAACTCAGATTTACAAATTTCACTATAATGAACATCAGTTAGTCTATCTGTATTGTCAGGTCGTTTCTGACCAAGAAATATTCCTGGGTATGCTAATTCCTCTGAGTACTTATCACGGAATATGCTTATAGGTCTGCTACCTTCACCAGGTGCAACATTTAAAATATACTGACGTTCATTGTCAGTCACAAAATCTGGAGCAGTTAACATAGTGTCAGTGACTCCAGCAGGTATTTCTGCCTCATCTTCACTCCACTGCTCATCAGGTGGTAACTGTGTCTTATTGACACTACTGTCTATGTCTGGCAGGTCATTTACAGTTTTTTCCACATCACTGTCATCAGCAGTTAATACAACGTTGGGACTACTTTCAAGCCATGTATTATTAAAAGTTATACCTTCTTCCCTATAAAGGCTACTGTTATCAACAAGCCATTGGGCAGCTTGTACTACCTTGTGAGGTCTTACATTCAACGATAAAGCTGAACTTTTATATTGTAATCTTCTCTTTAAGTTCACTTTTATGGTTCCAGTTTCAACTGACAGTCGTGGCAACATACTAACAGTATTTGTTATATCTGCTGGTACATTAACAACATTGCCATTAATTTTAAATTGTTTCCCCCTAGGAGCCTGCATGAGCTTTTGAAATGCTAATCTAGGAGCTAGTAACCTGCATTCTAACTCACTTAAGTAAAAAAATGCTGGCTTCATAGGAAATTGCATCCCATTTATGGCAGCACAAGGTAGGACTTTATTTTTAGCCAAGTAATTCAGACATGTTTTACACAGCCATTCAACATTATTAACACTTGTTTTATTTTGTAGATATTTCTTAGCATCATGATTCTTTTTCCTGAGTGTTGCTGCAGACAACACACTATGCTTGTACCACAGTTGATCACAGCAGCTGCATACATATAAAGGTCCTTTAGAGACAATGTCATGAAACTTTAATATTAGGCTTTGTAGAGATTTATTTCGCTGATTTTGCTTGTTTTGAAAAGTTTCACTTGATCTTTTCTTTTTCATGTATTCTTTGTGCTGCTCATTTTGCTTTTGCTTGTTTTGAAAAGTTTCACTTGATCTTTTCTTTTTCATGTATTCTTTATGCTGCCAATTATTTTTTTTCTTTCTCTTGAGAAGTTTCACTTGATCTCTTCTTTTTCATGTATTCTTTCATGTATTCTTTCAAATAAATTTTCCTTTTCTGTTTTTGCTTATCATTACTTTTCCCAACATTTGAAACTGTACTGCCTAATTGTAAGCTTATGGTGGAAACATAATGATATTCACCCAAATGCCCTATATGAACAACTGTTGGTTGGTGTTGTGGTGCTACAGCTTCTATAATATTAAACAAAGCAAAGTTCTCATCTGACTCTATTATGTGTATCTTTAAATTAAGTATATCTGCAACAGCTTGTATAACTAAATTGTCACACCATGTCCCCGGTGTTGACATATTTTCAAGATATTGCATCCAAGAAGACTCAATATTGCTTTCAATAAATCGTTCAGGATTTTCTCTCAAATAATTACCACCTGCAATTCTTATATCTAAATGATGGTTACAATCACTATATAGCTGGTGTGAAATGGCTCTAAAAAAGCAATCACCTTCACCACCAACATCTAGTGGTCTCAAGCCAAGCTGTTCTAATCTATTTTCTACTATGTTATAAGCAGGCAATGATGCCTTTACTTTGCTGCTAACATTTGTTAAAGGGCCAGGATTTAGTTCAATATCACCAGACATCATCAGCTTTTTATCAGACATACAAAATTTATCATTGTCAAATATTGCATTCTTTAAAATAGTGCTACTATTTAAAACACACGTTGTCGTCAGATGGTGTGATGTGCAAATTCTCTTTTTAGCTTTATGTATATGTTTTAAAGCTGCAAAGGACTGGGAGAGAAATTTATGTTTGTGAATGAACTTCAGATAATACTCCTTGTAATTTGTAGCTATATGATTTAAAACAGATGACGTAGGAGTTGAGTGCTTGAGAAACTGTTTCACTTTTTGTCTACATTTTCTGTTTTTCATTGCTCGCATAATTTTTTTAAAACATACTCTTGATGGTGCTCTGTCTCTGTACCGAATAATATTTGACTGTCTCAATTTTCTTGCAGTCAATCTACAGCTATACAGACAAGGGTTGTGATCGTAAGTACTAGTCAAACTGTCATGATTTACCACAGGCTTCACATTAGTTCTATTCAATGTCTTATTCGTATAAAAAGGTTCAATAATCCTCTGACAAAGAAGATATTGAATAGTATTTTTCTGTGTAATACTTAGATGCTCAATTTTCCTCCGACAAATATTCATAATTTTTCTTGTGTGTGGCTTCATAATTTTCCTCGTGAGAGGCTTCATAATTTTCCTCGTGAGAGGCTTCATAATTTTCCTCATGAGAGGCTTCATAATTTTCCTCGTGAGAGGCTTCATAATTTTCCTCGTGAGAGGCTTCATAATTTTCCTCGTGAGAGGCTTCATAATTTTCCTCATGAGAGGCTTCATAATTTTCCTCATGAGAGGCTTCATAATTTTCCTCGTGAGAGGCTTCATAATTTTCCTCGTGAGAGGCTCCATTTTCCTCCCATGAGGCACAATTTTCCTCGTGAATGGGTTCATTTTCCTCCCATGAGGCACAGTTTTCCTCCCATGAGGCACAATTTTCCTCCCATGAGGCACAGTTAAGCTACTACAATACTTCAACACGAGATGGGCGCCATGATGCTCCGAACCATTTGTCCGGATACAAAATTGACTCGTACAGAAACTACAGAACCGCCGAAACCTGTGGTAAATCACTCTTCTATATTTTCTGTAAATCATTTTTAACAATACTTACCTTGAAAACCTGTGTTCGATGTATTTTTCCTTGACTTTTTCAACTACAAATTCTTCCAGCGTTTTATTTCACATCGGGTACCACAAAATCACATCATCACATGATCAGATCATATGGAATGCCATGACTGCCTTAAGTCGATGATATTGTTTATATGCGGTGCATATATCATTATATGCAGTGCTTCTATCATTATATGCAGTGCTTATATCATTATATGCGGTGCTTCTATCATTATATGCGGTGCTTATATCATTATATGCGGTGCTTATATCATTATATGTGGTGCTTATATCATTATATGGGGTGCTTATATCATTATATGCGGTGATTATCCCCGAGCCGACGGCGCGAAGCGCCGTGCGAGGGTACTAATTCCCCCCGGCTATTTACACCCGGGGAAGGGAAGCATTAGCGAAGTCTAAAGTTCATCAAATATCGCGGGCGTGCGTCACTGTGCGTGTTTCGGTGGGTGGTCATCCTCACTGATCTCATAATATAGCGGACTGTGATGAATAGCCAACACTGATTGGTCCAATTTAAAATTGGCATTATAACGGCTGCATGACGATTGACGACAGCGAAATTGATTTGATGATTTCTTGCAAATATATTTCATTTTTGCAAGATTTTGTAAAATGCAAAGGATTTTTGATGAAATAAAGGCAAGAGGATTGCTAAAAGAAGGAAGTAAAGGTGCCGACGTTAACGAAGGTAAGTTTGTTTTAAATATTGATGCATTGTTTGCTTTTAATATACTGTAATCTCGACTGTAATTACTTTAAAAGCCGATCGTTGCGTATATAAAATATGAAACAAGACAGCGTATTATTTCAGTGTTTCTTTATTGATTACACTTTTTATTATACTAAGCAAAGTTATTTACATGGGGGAATTTGGAATCATTTTATTTCGAACTCAAAGTTTATCGATAAAGGCAGTTTAGTTCTATATTAAAAGAACACTTTCAAACGTTTTGCGAAGCGTTTGTGGTTGAATTTTACCTTAAATTGAAGCTTATATTACGTATAATAACATACCTACTGGTTACTGTAATTACATTAAAAGCCGATCGCTGTGTAAAAATATGAAACAAGACAGCGTATTATTTCAGTGTTTCTTTATTGATAACACGTACTTTTTATTATACTAAGCAAAGTTATTTGCATGGGAGAATTTGGAATAATTTTATTTCGAACTCAAAGTTTATCGATAAAGGCAGTTTAGTTCTATAGTAAAAGAACATTTTAAAACGTTTTGCGAAGCGTTTGTGGTTGAATTTTACCTTAAATTCAAACTTATATTACGTATAATAACATACCTAACATATATATGTTTAGGAAATTGATAATTTTGTAATTAAAAGTGATATTTATAGGGGATTTTTCATTTGTAAAAATATTCTTAAAAAATGATCGTGTTACCATGACAACTACTTAAAATACTTCACGTTCGGAAAATAAAATAGTTTTGTCAGCAAGGCGAGGGTTTCTGCATGCATGTATTTTCTAGTATCATTATATGCGGTGCTTACTTTGTTGTGTGGTGCTTAGTGCGTTGTGTGGTGCTTACTTTGTTGTGTGGTGCTTAGTGCGTTGTGTGGTGCTTAGTTCGTTGTGTGGTGCTTAGTTCGTTGTGTGGTGCTTTGTTTGTTGTGTGGTGCTTTGTTCGTTGTGTGGTGCTTAGTTCGTTGTGTGGTGCTTTGTTTGTTGTGTGGTGCTTTGTTTGTTGTGTGGTGCTTTGTTTGTTGTGTGGTGCTTTGTTCGTTGTGTGGTGCTTAGTTCGTTGTGTGGTGCTTTGTTTGTTGTGTGGTGCTTTGTTTGTTGTGTGGTGCTTTGTTCGTTGTGTGGTGCTTTGTTCGTTGTGTGATGCTTTGTTTGTTGTGTGGTGCTTAGTGCGTTGTGTGGTGCTTAGTTCGTTGTGTGGTGCTTTGTTCGTTGTGTGGTGCTTAGTGCGTTGTGTGGTGCATTATTATGAATTTAACACAGACTGTTTTCTGTCGGTTTATTAATTCTTGTCAGATTAATTAAAAGAACATTTGGCAACGATCATGCAACATTTGGCTATTATTAATTGGACTTTGTCATGGCAATAACACTTTTTTGGTCCGGGGTGGCTTCCGTAAATTGCCCCACATATACAAAATTTTCCTAGTAATGTTGGCGACGGGAAAATTGGTGTATTCAAAAAATATTCCGAACAAACATGATTCCGATTACATTTTGCCTGTTTTGCCTTTTTCTTTCATTTTCCTCTAAATTTGCTATAAACTTCGAAATTTCTAATCGTGTTTTTGGGCCCATCTATTATAGTCCCTGCGCCTGCTTTTACGCAAAAATCGTCATGCAAATCGTTTGCAAAATTATAAGGTTCTAAAAAGAAAATTAAATTGTGTAAGTGGAAGCACCACTTTCGTTTTGCATTGTTTACTTGTTAAAATCAGTGATTCCACTTTCAAGAAAAAGACGTTTCAAGGAATAAAAAGGAATCAAGGAAATCTAAGGAATTTTTGAAAATTCTAAGGAAATTTAAGGAATTTTTGAATCAACTGATTGAAATGAAATGTTTTCAAGATGAACCTTTCATTAATTTTAAATTATATTACTTTCCTTCGCTCATAACCAATATGTCCGCGTGCAAAAATAAAAAAAACTCTTTCGGAGCCTGTGACCGTGTCGGTGGAATCTAAAATTATTAATGAAACTAAGTAAGTAGGCTGCACACAACCTGAATTTTAGGCAGGTAGCATGCTGCGTGCAGGCCACCACGTGTTAGCTGCACTGGTTGGCTGTCATGTAACCTGGATTCCAGAGCCTTCGACAGTAAATAATAAATTGAAACGTCACGAAGGCTCTGGTTCAACGGGAAGGTTCTTTAATTAAACCGCGCCAATCACAAAACAGAATTAGTGGTTTTAGTACAGAATATGTACTAAAAAACACTAATTCTGTTTTGTGATTGCCGCGGTTTAATCAAAGAATCTTCCTGTTGAACCAGAGCCTTCACGACGTTTCAATCTATTATTTACTGTCGAAGGCTCTGGAATCCAGGGTAGCTGTCATGCGAATTTATATGAATTTATTTGTCATGTGAATTTGTTGACTCAGTTAAAGTTGAGAACAATATTAAAACTCTGGTATTTTACATTTTAAAGCTTTCAAAATTGTTGTTTTTAAAGTTTTCAAAATTGTTGTTCAAAGGCTTTGTTTTTAAGAGTTGTACGAAAGAAATGTACCATTCTGTTTCTGTCTTACTTTATATAAGTATTAATGATTCTAGTTGCCGAAATTTACTTCGGTTAATCAAGGAAATTACATCCTATTTCAAGGAAATTCAAGGAAATTTTAAAGCAAAATCAAGGAAATTTCAATGATGCGTTGTGGAAACACTGGTTAAAATATTCATTTATTCCAATATGTCTACCAGCCACGTGCCTGTTATAGAGAAAATATTGGGCGAAATAGGTTTGCAAGCAGCTATTGAACGCTTCAAGGCCGAGAAGATCGACGAAAAAATTGCAGTGACACTAAACGATGGAGAATTGATTCGTCTGGGGGTGGCAACAATCGGCGACAGAGCAAGATTTCGTCAGCTATGTCGCCAGCATGGTTCAGACCCTGTCGCACAAGTTCAAGGCCGTGAAGGTCAAGGAACTTCTTCTGGACTACAAACTCGTGCCTACAGGGACCGAGCGCTTCTTTTTAACTCAAGAGGTTCGAGAAGATCTCAGTCTTTGCCTGCAAATGCTGCCAAGAAGAAAGAAAAGAAGCGGACTTGGACCACTACGTTTGTGTGCTTGGCGGATAGGCTCGCTGTCAAAGTTCCCTCGTCTTCAGAAAAGCAAATTTTGCAGAAAGCAGGACTTGGCATTAAAAGAATAAAGTTCGAAGCCGACAATGACGAAAAAGCTGTTCTGGAAACTATTACTTCATCCGAAGTAAACAGCGAGACCGGCCAAACAATTGGATTTCCGAAACTGAAAGAATGTGGCGGTTTTGAGCTAATGAATTGCATAGCAAACTGCAGAAATCTAAGCACTCTTGATTGTGCATGGTCCGTAAAGAGCCTTAAAGCAAATATTGGTGGACAATCACGTATATATTTGAGACCAATTCAAAAGGATCTGTGCACTGAACCTTTGACCGAGGAAACTCCTTGCGAAATCAAAGAAAAATGCAACGTTTGTGGCCAAGATGTGTTGGTTCGGAATTTGCGCACACACGTTTATATGTGTTCCGAAGCGGAAATTATTCACAGCGGTTCTGAAAGTGAAGAAGGGTTGCCAAGTTCTTACCAAGTGGATCCCCTTCCTCGACCAGAAGAGAGTTCAAGCAGTGCCAGTGGTAATCCAGGGGCAAGTTCAACTGCAGATTCCGAGCAACCGGTTGAACTTTTGGAAATTCAAAACTTTGACGTACAAGATGTCTCAGAAGAATCCGTTGAAAGTCTCATTTCCGAAATCGTAGAATATTGTAGATCAGAACAAATAGCTGATCCGGTCGAAATTCTGAGGTACTACCAAAGTAAATTTGTGCTTGGCAGAGCCCTTGACATTACTGATCCAGATGAAATCTGTGAAGGATTGACAAGTTACATTTTAGTTGACAGAGGGAATATTTTGGCAACTTCTTTTGATGAAATAAAAGAAATCTCAAACTTAAGGTTAACTCTGCAAGTTAATTTCTATGGAGAGGTAACAGTAAACAGTATATATAAACATTTGAATAATATTACTATGAATCTACAGAATATGTAGATTTCTTATTTTTGTTATTTTATTATTATGCCCCCCTCCATAAGTGACCTCTCTAACAAGCCCCTCCTCCAAAGAAATTTGTTAAGCTTCACTGTACTTTTAAATGTATTGATATTCCTTACACCAATTTGAAAATTATATCATTTTAAGGATAAATATTTAATAAGCCCCCCCGCTTTAATAAGCAACTTCCCAATTCCTCTTCGATATATATCGGTGTAGTTTTTACCTGAAGAGGCTGCTACAACAGCCTGTTTCGTCCAAGAGGTATCATGATTCCACTAATGATTCCTCTACCAGATGATTCCTCTTGGATGAAACAGGCTGTCTTTTAGGTAAAAACTCCATTATCTGCTCTATGAACCAACAGTCTTTCAATCATTTAGTGTGCAGACGACTATGGTGGGCCACGGAAAGAATTCTTTCGCCTGGTTCTTAATGCCATTAAGAACAAGTACTTCGACAATGGTTTGAAAAACCACCTATCAGAAGATTATGAAGTTGTTGGTACCATCATGGGTTAGATCTATAATAAGTGCTCTGAGTCACATAGTGGCTATACATTTACATATAAATTATGATGCCAATCTTTGTGATTATGTATTGACATGATGTGTGTTGTGCTGTTGTGTTGTGATGTTGTAGAAATGTATGTATTTATAACCACATGACATACATGCACTATAGTAGTAATCAGGCACGGATTTTCTGGGGGTGGTGCGTCCCCCCCCCCAGAAATGCTTTGCACCCCCTCAGAGGCATTTGGCACCGTCCCCAAAAAGTTTTTGCACCCCCTCAAATTATACATATTTTGATTTGATATTTTCCTATTTGGTTATTCTTATTACTAAATTTGTAAAATTACTAATATTATGGTCTCAGATGCTGCCATGTAGGCCTAGAAAACAAGTTTTGTTAAACATTTTTCCTGGCCTTTCTGGATGTTGCCACCAGGCCCCAGCCAAAGCAAGCAGCAGCACCCCCCAGATATTCATCCACCTTCCCCCCCGAACGAAAATCCGTCTCTGGTATTAATACAGTAAAATTTTTGTAGGTCTTAGCATTCTTCAGAATGGGAAAATACCGACATTTCTCAGTGATGAGGTGCTCAATGAATTATTTGGTGGCCAAGATCCACAGCCATGTATTACGAACATCAGAAATGGATTATCAAAATTAGGAATAATTCAGGTTATCTTATTATGCAAAATTTTAGGCATAGTTCATATAATAGCCAGCTACATTCACAGTCCATATTAGCCAGCTGAGGATGAACTTTAGCTTTATTTCATCGAGATATATTTTCACAACAAAATATTCATTCTTTCCGGGGACAAAACAAGTACATTCAAACAATTTAAAGATCATTCTAGCCCTAACCCACTGAGGGTTTAACCTTACTAGTGAGTTGAAGTTACTCCCGCTGCTGATACGAGTCTCAATCTAAGGGTATGTGCTATTTTTAGATTGTTCTAATCCCAGTGTATTCTATTGTGATGCCTCATTTTTTACAAGCACCCTAAACAATGGATGGTTTGATACTGTTTGCATCTAGTACTTGTTATTGTATTTAGATTGTAGAGCAGCTACCTACCATGAAAAACCTATTCCATCACAAGGAAGAAGTGTTAACAGTGAAGAGAGTAATCAATATCTTCAAACCGACATTCAGTGAAGAAGGATCAAATAATCGTATGCTGGAGAAATCTGTGTATGCAGTTTTTTTGAAATACATTCGAGAAGTTGCAAGTAAGATTATTCTGACAAATCATTTAATTATATGCATGTGTGCCTTGCGATACCCCCACTAAAAACAACAAAGAAAGAAAAACAACAATCATGAACATGGTCATCATGCAGCTTCTTATTATTTTTTTAATTTTAGGTGGTAGAAGAGGCAGATTGTCGCTTGCAAATATATTAGAGTTTGGTACTTGTGCTGACCAGGAGCCTATACTTGGTTTTTGTTTGCAGCCAACACGGAAATTTTTTGAAGTTACCACTACCTTCATCCCAACTGCCAATACATGTACCAATTGTATTAACCTCCCACGACCAACCGTAAATATACCACTTCCTGGTTCTGAGGAATTGTTTAATCTGTTTGACTACGCTTTCATGAACGCATATTTTGGAAATTTGTAGGTTCTTAATATTCTTTTACATATTGAATCATGAACAAAAGACATTTGCTGTTTGGGTTTTGTTAAGAAACTTTAATTCTATACCCTGTATAGTTTAATTAGAGTTAATTATTGTTTGTTTTTTAAAGGTGATCTACAGTCCGATCTGCGCATGTGCACAAAGGAGCCCACTTTTTATGATACAAACAGTTTAACTATGTTTTGGGTTTTTGAAAAGCCTGATTATTGTTTCTTGATCATTTATTATACTCTAGAAGCTTGAAAATATAAATAGTTGTCGAATAAAGCCTAATATTTTGGACACAAAAATGTAAACAAAGGCTTTGTTTACATACGGACTGTAGAGCACTTTAAAGAAAACATGTTATTTTGCGTTGTGAATTATTGGTGAATATACAACGTAAATAGAGAACGTTACAAATGGTAATGTCAAAGTGATTGTAATACCAGATAATGTCAACTCATTTTTTGATTGAACAGCAGCATTGAGAGCATCTTCATTTGTATTAGATCGAGATGTGAAAACAGAAGTTACAGAAAAAGTTCAGTTACAGTTTAATTTAAAAACTTTAAAATTTAAACTAACTGTACAACAATCAAGCATTCATTCATTCCCAAAAGTCATTTGATTGCTACCAAAAAATCTGTATAATATCTACACAACAATTGGCATACTTTTTGCAACTGCCTTATTCAACTATTATTTGAATAATGCTGAATTATATCAATAGCTCTTAAATATAAATCAATGCCATGGTTAGCTGATGGGCTTAGATCTGGAATGTCTCTTACTAGCTGAGATAGACAATTTTCACTCAACTCTATTTGTGGAGGATTCAAAATGGGCCTTTCATTATCTTCTGTTTCAAACAAAAATGGTCTATGGTGTTTGCTGGACCACCAATAAAGGTCTATGGTGTTTGCTGGACTCGCTCCACCAAGTTTGAAGTTTCATATCCTTGTCATCTGTTAACATAGTCTTTGGAAATTGCTTTACGTGAGCGGTTGTGGCCTTCTTCATTGTTTAGGGCATTTAATTTCTTAACGGCGTGGATGGGGAGAGAGTGTTTTGGATATTGGCAAAACGTCTCGACTTGATGTATTTCGATTTGAACTTGGCCAGCATTTCCAAATTTTCATCATTGTCTTAGCAAACTCGCTGGCAGCGACGTTTGGTCGTAACAACCACTCACCGTTAATGCGGCGCATTAGGGTCGCCACGGATGGCTGGGAGTCGGTATAGCGACGCAAGATGTTTGATGGGAAGTGTTGAAAGAAGTGGACTGCTTTCGGACTTTCGGGAGTGTTTGTTCGTAGTTTGTACACCTAAAGAAGAGAGACAATATTTAATAACGGGTCAGTGGATTGGAGGAGTCTTTTCATCTTCTTTTCACTAATTAATTCGTAGTAGTGGCCCAACAAAGATTTTAAATTTTGTTCAATACTCCCGGTAAGTTTCGATATATGCGCCATATTCATAGTTTCATATCCTGCCAAATGAGCTGGCCCTTTGCTAAACGCACTTCTGATGTTGTGAATCTAGTAGGCCATTAGAAATGTCCATTCGTAAGGTGAAATAAACCCACCTTACCTTGGTGGAGTTGCTGGCTGTATAGTTCGATATTGTCCTGCTGAAATTTGCATGACCATATCAACAGCGAAAAAATGTAAGGTGAAACCAGTGTGATTGAAATGGTTAGAACGGAAGATTGAAGGAGTAAAAGGAGTAGAACCCTGGTTTCTTAATTCACGAACGTATCTGAAAGGGGGAAATACGTAGTTTGCGTCGCTAAAAGGACTTTTAGATAAGGAACATCCTTTCTAGTTGTTGCAGGTATGTGGTGTGGGTTGACATTAATTTTGTCGAAGAACGAAATATGAAGTGCGAGGGACGTTTGTTGCTGAGGGAAATTTAGAATCGGGAAATTACTTGATGAATGGATGTGTTATGTCTTTATGTATGTCAAGGAACGAAGTGGTCTATGTGTCATTCATATATATTTGATATGTTTCTAACAAGATATAACAAGATAACTGGAAGGTTTAATGTTGAACAGGGAAACCGAGGCCACTTTTGCATATTTTTAATGTTTCGAAATTAAGGTAAATCAGTGACTAGAAATTATTATGACTTACCATTTTTCAGTTAGGTATCGAGGCGGCATAATTAAAAATAATGCGGTGGCCATTGGGTTAGCTTAATTTAAAAACAATAAAACTATGCAAAAGCGACTGGGTTTGGCTGTTCGAGCAGTAAAGAGCTTGTTTACAATAATATTAAGAAATATTTACAAAAGAGGATTCGTAACTTGAGAAATATAATATAATGTCATAGTGTGTTAAAAGGCACAGTTAAGCCTTGTCTTTTTAATAGGAAAAAATTATAAGAAATGAATTGAGCATAATTAAAAACCACTGAACTGTCAATGTTTTTAACGTTAAAAATGTTTAAAAACATTCAGTTCACTGATTTGAATTATGCTTATTTCATTTTCCTACTTAGTTTCCTACTGCCTACTAAGGTTCAGGTGAAATGTGAATGTTTAGGATGGGCTTATAAAGGGTGCCAAAGCCGTTATAATAAAACTATATTGTAAGTATATTTCTCATGTGCTTATTACTTTCAGTCCTGTCAACATAATATAAAATTACCAGAAGTGTTTAGTAGTAGTAATATAAAAAATATATACCAGGAGAAACTTGCCGTTAATGTCAAAGTGATTCTTAGTTGCTGGTCGGATGGTACTTCATTCACTTCTCGGATTTCTTGGGGGGGTTTTATTTGTGATGCTCGGGGGTAGCGGTTTCTTCAACTTCTTGTGGTGATTCATTGGTCTTGCTCTTTTTTTATTTCTTACAGTTGGGGGCAGCGGTTTCTTCAATTTCTTGTGGTGATTCATTTGTCTTGCTCTTGTTCGATTTCTTACGCTTGGGGGCAGCGGTTTCTTCAATTTCTTGTGGTGATTTATTGGTATCTTCAAGTATGGTCCTCTTGGCTGTCTTTGGGGAGGTGTGTGGTTGGTTGTTGGGGCACATCATCGTCACTATCATCTTGTAGCTGCTGGAGGAGGGCTCGTCTTGGGTGTGACTTTGAACTTTGGCTGGAGTTTGTGTGGAATTGCCTAAGCATTCCTGTACGAGCAAGCAACGAAGAGCTTTGACATCTTTTTCTCTCTTGAAATCTTTTGTGCTTTCGTTCTCCAATACCAGTTTCTCAGCGAACTTTGTAGGCTGACTGATAATGGATCGGGCCACGATGTATTGGATTGCAGTGCTGAACATTGCTCCGCCAACAACAAACATTTCTTCGATGGACTTGTCCAATTCTTGTTAATTATCGTATAGATAGGTCATTACCGTGTTGATGTCTTGTTTACTTGAAACTAGTTCTGTTTTGGTGTTTAAAGATGAAAGAGCATCAAGCATAGGTGCTACGCTGTCCGATATGCTGGCGAACTTTGACGTGTTCAGCAGTGCAAGGTTGTCATCTTGAAGCAACTGTAGGTTTTCTGTGATTGTTTCCGCAAATTCGCTCGTGGCCGGAGTAACCACTCTCAGGAAATGGGGTTTGTTCGCCTGGAGATTACATCGTCATCTGGGGCGGAATCCGCCTTTCCATACGGTTTTAAAAAATTGGATGGGAATTGGTTAAAATAACTGACAGCTTTCGGTTTTTCAGGAGTACGCTTGTTTTGCTTGTACATCTGTAGAGATAAGGAGAAGAAACATTCAGAATCGAATGCAAGTACAGTGTGCGTGCTATGTGGTAATGGAATGTGGAAGTTGAAACATTGATGCAAATGCATCATTAACTTTGTTGTTAATTTATTGTCATAATACTGCCATTTTTACTAATATTTTAATTTTAAAAGTTGGAAAATGCCTTGTAAATATTACAGTAGGATAAAGGAAATAGAAGAAATAACAGCATAATATGTGCAATATAGGAATATATCTACACAATTATTGTTCGGTGTGTGCCATGATTATGTCAAAAATGGTGTACGAGATAAAAGGATAGTGATTTCTTTTCTGGAAGAAAAATTAAAATGTTTGAACTGTTGTTCAGAACAGATGCGGACAGGCTTGAACAAGCAACTTTTGAGAGGGGTAAGAAAAAGTCATTAGTAAAAGTTAAAAGAGTAGAGTCAGGATTGGCTCGAAATGACTCGATGTGGGTGTACTACACCATCTGGACACAATACTTATACTCGTCCTTCCTGGACTTGCTGTAGCAAAGCCTCAGTGGGAATCCAGTGCCTGATGTGATTGAGAAATGATAAGTAGTCACTATCACCAACTCTATGTTGTCCATTCAGGATGTACTGGTAAATAGAAGCTAGGAAAGATTGGTTGTTAAATGGACTGGAAACTTGACTTTGCGATTTGTTAATTTTTTAATGGTTGCTGTTGAGCGTAGTCACCAGAAACAACCAGAACTGGTCTAAAAATTAGTCTTGTCAATGTGAAGAACAGCTGTTTGGCCATTGACTATACCATTTGGCTTATCTTTATTTTGGGTTATAACTACGCGCAATCCAGCTGTGCATGTGCCAATGGCTGTAGCTCATTGAAAATGGCCTTAATTATAATGTTTTTGACGTAGCTTAGCGCCATTTTTGGTAAAGGTCAAAACCGTGTTGTCAGGATTTGAATGATAAGCATGCAAAAAGTCATCGGTCACTGTGTCTGATTTACTTATAACATTACCATCCTGTATCTGATCTAGTAATTGCTGACTCGGACTCATTTCCTTATAGTATTAAGAAAACTTAGGTAATCGGCATCGCAAACACGATGTTGCTCTTTCAAATGGTAGTGATACGCTGGGCCTATCAAAGAAATTCGGGGGCCCTATTTTTTCCCAAAATTGTTGGCGAGCGAGGGGAGGGGGGGAGGGGGGTAAAATGTTTTAATTAATATTGTTAAAACAACATCAATATCTGCAAAATTTAGGTTTAGAAATTTTTCCTCAACCCATTATTTATATCAAAAAACGTTTCAAATTATTTTTTTATTTTCCAAATTTGGGGGGCCACCTTACACTGGGGGCCCGAGGAAAATTGCACCCTCTGCCCCCCCCCCCCCTCTTCTGATAGGCCCTGGTGATACGTGTTGGTGACAAAGGAAGTGTGACATAATGCGCTACTGAGTTGCATTATTTTTCCATTTTGTCGCGAAAATGGTTGCTGCTGACCATAAGAACTGGGCGAAACAGTAGAACACTGAAAGTTTTAAGGATGTGGGGAAAAATTATGTCTGGAATCATTGAGAACTCGTCAATAATGATGTCATAGTGTGAGAATTGTCAATAGCTGTAGGAGAATATATTTGCATCAATTCACTTTCTTCTATGTTGTAGAATGGTACTTTTCCCATAGCTACATTGAAATTTTTGTACTTTAGTTTGTGCTAGAATTTTTGGTTGGTTCCGACTATTCAACAAATATTAAAATTTGTAGGGGGAAAATGAAGTTTTCCAATTTTAAACAAAAGATCGCAAGAATTTTTTTATTGTATTCAAACAATTTCTGCAGACAAACTCTGAAAATGACAAACGTTTTCCTTGCCACATACTATTGCTATCAGTTTCTGCTGATTCAAGTGAAATGTTCGGGACAAGAAAATTTCGACAATTGTCGTATCTAAATTTAAGGTTAATGGCAATCAATATTAGATTTGTGTTATTTGAAAGAACTTTTAAAATGACATATGAACGACTTTAACAACGTTTCCGAATCGTTATCGATTTTCGAAATATTTTGGCCAAATACAAGGTGCAAGCCGCGATCTTTTGGTTATTGTTCAACATTGGAAAATCGATATTTTCGGGCTGTTCCATTTCTAATTGGTTCGTATCATATTAATTAAAGAAAGTTCTCTCAATGACGTATGAACCACGTATAGTAATTTTAACAGTATGCCCCTGTTGTGAGGTCAGAAAAATCCCAGTCAAATAAGTTAAATATGTTGTGAAAGAAAATATGGAGAAGAACTTTTTCTACGTATTCTGGAAATCAAACCATCCAAAATAGAATCTAACAAGCCAAATATACTAACAAGTTTTGGCGTGATTGATCCTTTCAGCGCATTTTAAATAAAAGGGTTTTTTTATTTGTACATTCACAAATTATCATTTTTTCTGAAAACATTATTATGAAACATTATTTTGCCATTATTCTGAAACAAGTGGAATTCTAAAATAACGAAATTCAAATTTAAGGAAAATGGAATGGAAAATCCCAATCTATGTCTGAACGCAATAGACCTGCATAGTATTAAGAAGAGCCATGAATGACTTCATTTATGTATAGTCTAAGTGTTTACATTTGATAAATGCAATAAATCTAAAACTTGAACATACCGGGCAGTGTGAACTTGTGTCTATTGTCCCAGTATATCCCAGCTCATGTCAGTGACTGCATTCCAAAATTAATAAATTCATAAATAAGTAAATTACGCCAATTATATCAATGGCCTCAAGCCAAAACAAGATATATCAATGGCCATTCAAATATACAAAAATCACTGATTTGTCGGAAAATGGAGGTACAACTGTATGTCATGCAGAATCGTGCATGCAGTTAGTTAACCAGGGTTTCACCAAGTATGATATCCAGCCAGAGATGATCCAATGATCTGTTATTTCAATGGATATTAGAAATGTCCAGTCCGATCAGTTTTTGAAAGGAAAAACCTTTATATCGGGTTTTAGTATGCTTAAATAGAAGTTTCTTCAATAGCCCAATTTTAGTTATCATTAGTCCATGAATTGTACAGTGTTATTTTACAATCCATGATTAGTCATTGACGAACGCTCCCAGCTTAGAAGCCAGAGTAAATTTTTACTTGTAAAATAAAGTTATTATTTAATCTGTACAAGAAGGCCTAAATCTTATGCAAGCAATCTTTACCTATCACATAATTTGGTCGGATATTTTACAATAATCTCTGGCCCGCTATCTGCAAAAGCAGACTATCTGGAGCAGCCTTGGTAATAATAATTCTGTATCACATGAATGCATGTGTAGGCAAATTGAAATACTTAAATAAATAAATATAAACCTATTGAACTTATAAGACGGACTTCTCAGTCTGACGTGATTCCGGTGATTGTACTATGAACTATCATCTTCCTGCACAGTTAAATTTATAAAAAGAATAGATTCATAATTCATATATATATATTTAGTCTGTAAAAATAAATAGAAAGAAAATATATATTTGTAAACTATCATAGGTTACCTTTTGCTGAAACGTACCAGTAAAGCACTATTATAAACTCTCTGTTCTTCTTGACTTGTGTTTGAAATATCAAACACAAGTTAAGAAGAATAATCATATTCAAAATGTAACAGCTCTTATAAAAAGAAACAAGTTCGGAAGAATGTCATCTTAAAATGGGAGTTTGATTCTGTTTAGAGCTACAGGGTTCGTACACTTGAACGTCTTTGATTTTGAAAACAAAAATTCAAGATCTTGAAAGTCCTTGATAAGTCCTTGAATTTTTAAAGAAGGGCTTGAAAGTCTTTAAAGCCTTCATGCTTTAGTTTCTGGATATTTTTTAAAATTATTTGACATTAAAAAATTGTTTTGCCTTTGAAATTCATTAAAGTTGCCATTTGAACAGTATTTAGTGATTCCAACGCCTGTTTTCATGCCTTTAGTCCTTCAATTTCGTCATACATGGCCTTGAAATTCCTTGAAAATCCCTTGAACCTTATTCAGCCTCACTTGTACATATACCGTTGTACGAACCCCACAATCTTGGCCAAAAGCTTGTAGAACTATGGAACTATATGCACTACTTTCCCCCTAATTCTAAGTATGACAACTCTCCCCGAATCTCCCCATTAATTAGATGTTGTTTCGGTCACAGTAATGTGTCAGATTTCCAGCTATTATAGTTACATAAAACAACATTGAATGGGGGGCGGGAAAGGAGGGTGATATAGCTATATCAGAACAAAAACGTCCGTCGTTTTACGGTTTTTGATCAAGATTGTAGCTGTGTGTATATATACTTTCTAAAATTGTTTGAATGAGCCTTTCTCACGGCCGATTTTATCGCCATTTTTGGAGTACTGCCTCTCCCACGTTTCACAGTCTCCGCACCACTAAATGAGCCCTGGTCTTAATCCTGCCACTATCTTATATTTATTTTCCCCAGCATCCCTATCCTGTCACTTAGAAGGTTCCGGCCAATATTTGCTATACACGCAAAAATCTCACATCTTCTTCAAAAATGTTCGTAACAGGCTTGTAACAAACTTAATTGTCACCAAGTTGTAACAATGCTGTTAGTTTGACAAGTTGCTACAAGTTTGCAATCACAACTTGTAACTTGCATGTTGCGAACACGTCTTGATGACCAGTTGTTGAAACACCACTGCCACAATCTGCTGCAGGTTTGTTACAAATTGTACGTTTTTACGTGTGTAGAAAACGTTCACAAAGAGTCACAAAATCTCAATCTTTAATAAAACAGCGGGCATGGAATTATAAAACGGGTACGAGGTAGTGATATAAGTAAACTTTCCGGAATTTGGTGTTCAAGGCTTGCTTGTGTTACAGAAAATGGCAACATTGTACACACGTAAAAATCTCACAACTTGTCAACAAGATGTGTTCGCAACAGGTTTGTAGCAAGCTTGTTAACAAGTAGTCTGCGAACCCAGACGTCAATTCCGACTCTCATTCTTCGCTTGGAAAGTAACGTCTGCGGAAACGAGCGGGAATTCAATTTACACCAATCAGAATGTAGCTCCTAAAAACTGTGAACTAACTCTTTGGAAATGCGTGGGATATTCGTGGGATTTACACGCGACAGAAAAATGCGAATGACAACAATAACAGTCGTAACATATATTTATAGCCCTCGGGGGCGTTTTCAACAAAATTTATTGTTTTTATTCTCACTTAGTCATTGGTACTTGCAATAACAATATATTTTTAACAAAAGATGCATCAGGATTTTATGCTTGTGACCATATAAAAATAAATAAACTTTTCTCTATTTTTCTTTTATTCTAGAATATACATTTATGCTCGTTAATATTTATATTTGCATTTACATTATCGCTTTGTATTTAGTTTATGAACGATTCTTCACAAAGTTTTCAAAGGGAATAGATTGAAAAGTATTTTAACCAGATGAGAGCAAAGTGTTACTGAATTCTTTAAAATGTTTAGGAACGAACTTTCTCTAAGTCTCATGTTAATATATTTTGTGACATTTTAAAAAAAGTCTTACTGTGGTCTATATATTGAACACAAAATATGTTACTGAATTGTAATTTGTTTGTGCCAAATAGAACTAGCTGGTTTACGGTGAAATAATGTAACCGATTGTCTATTGATCATACAGTACCGATATCAATTTCAATTTCAGACCTGAAGCATAAACAAAATGCATTTACTTCTGGCGATCATGTTTTTTGGGAAAGTGTTAATTTGAATTTCTCTCAAATGCCGTATGTAAGTATGTTTGCAACAAAGTGCTAGTAAGAAAGTGCGCGACGTAAGGAAGCACACGTACTGAAACTGCTACTATATAGTACTCACTCTGTACAGTATATAAATACAAACACCAACTATACGTAGTTTGTTTTGAAAATTTGGAGTCTCCAGATCGTCGGAAAAGGCATTTTCAGAGTCTTCTTTAGCACTTTTGTTAAGCTCTTTCAAATTCTGTCATTATGATTTCTAAGCTATAAATATGTTTACTTTATGGTTTGCGACTCAGTTAGATGCTAACTATTTGAGCAAGTAAATACCGCTGCCTAACAAGCAGCACAGACCAAAAACATCCAATGACAAAAGACTAACAAAAATGTTGTTATTAAAATAACAATAAACAATTGCAGATACTTCCAGTTTCGAGAATTTCGCAGTAATTTTGTATTATTTTTTTTAAATCCAATAATTTTTTGGGGGCCGAAAGCTATCCCCGCCCCCCTTATAAAATATTGGGGTGGGGCGCGGCTCCCCGGATTCCTACGCCCCTGGTTTAAACAGTATATATTTGCGAATAGTTTCGCTAGGATCTTCAACTATCAGATTAACTTTATTTCCGTGACAGATTTTACAACAAGTTCAGGACCAGGCTGTTCCCAATGCAATGCATGGCGTATAATCTTGCTGCAGAGCGGTATAGACATAAACAAAGTGTCCTATACATTATTTTGGCCGGCCGCGTACTTTTAATAAGAACGTAACTGCATTTGGAACAGAATAGAAGGACTGACACATACAAAGATTACATGACTTTGTCCATGTCTACACGTTCATTCGCACAGTATTTTAATAACGCACTATAGGGTCACTATAGTAATGAAATGCGTAGAAAATTATATTCTTCGCAGACTAGTTCAAATCACAATCTGTCGAACGAGCTGTAGAAGTTTGTAGTCTGGCTGTTGGACCGAGAACAACACTTTGAAACTCCAATATGATATATCATAGTAATTTTCCTCGCCATATTTTTATTGATAACATCCTATGCGACTTTCACATGGTCAACATACGTATAGACAATCCTCTTTGGCGTCGCCCAGTATTGAAGTTGAAAATGTTCAATATATTCAAATAACTTCTAAAACAATTATATTTTCCAAAACACACATCATATTTTCCAACTGAGAGGTGTCTTCTTTAATACATACTGTCATTGATACAGTAGTTGTATTCTGGGTATACCTTTTCGAAGTTTTGTTCATATTTTCAGTACAAGTATATTAATTTATATTTTTATAATAAAAAACGCGGCTCCGTTCGTGTGGTCCTACACGCGTTATACACGCGCTCGCGCACATGAGCACGTGCTCTCGCTGTAACATACGTTTTAATTGGCTAACACAGACAATAGACATACGTGACGGAAATCGAATTCCCGCTCGTTTCCGCGGACGTTACTTTCCAAGCGAAGAATGAGCGTCGGAAATGACGTCTGGATTCGCAGACTAGTTAAAAAGTTGTAACAATGTCAATGCTGTTATTTTATCAAGTTGCTGCAAGGTTGTCACTCACAACTTCTTGACAACTTGTTCAATTGCAGGACGATAACAAGTTGTTGGAAAAACTTGTAACAAGTACATGTTGACGGAGCTGAACAACCTTGTAGCAAGTTGTCAAACTGGGAAAAAGCAGTGCGACCACATCCTGGGGCCGGTTGGATAAAAACGTAGTTAAAAATAACTACAGTTAGCGTTACCTACCGTAGTTAAATCCTTAACTGTAGTTAATTAACTACATGACTTAACTGCGTTGCACGAAACGTAGTTATAGTCGAATAGTTAACTAATCACCTGGAGCCGGTTGTATAAAAACGTAATTAGCGCTAACTGCAGTTAAAAAGTAGTTAAAGTTAACTATGCTTTAGGGTATAGTTAACTGTCCAAAACGTAGTTAAAAATGGCGTTTGTATAGGAGTGAACAACATTTTTCAGTAAAACAATAATGAAAAGCAACGCTTACCTGAGATTTTCAATCGCTATCTTCTCTGTGAATGTTTCCTGACAATATAAACTCTTCAAACGCTATCGCTTTGGCGTTTTTACGAAAACAGAACATATTTTTGCACAGGACGATTTCTCGAAGACGAAGTATGGTCCATTACTCCAAGAAACACTGATATATAATTGCCAAACAGCTAGACATTGGTTTAACGTAGACATCTCAAGGAAAAACTGCATTCTTTTATGATTTTTGTGGCGGTTTTTCCTTGTTTTCTTGTTTATTTTTCACTGTTTTCTAGTGTTTTGAATAAAATTCCCGCCTATTTGCAAAATACGAGTCCACAATCATGTTGAAAATGTGTGTCAGCGGTCGTTACTCGCTGCTTACTTTATGTAATTTTGTGTTTAAACGCCCCACGCACAGTTAACTACGTGATTAGTTAACTATCCGACTAACTACGTTTTATGCAACGCAGTTAAGTCATGTAGTTAACTAATTACAGTCAAGGATTTTACTACAGTGATTAACGCTAACTACAGTTAGCGCTAATTACGTTTTTATACAAGCGGCCCCTGTAGTTAACTGTGCGTGGGTCGTTTAAACACGAAATACATAAAGTAAGCAGTGATTAACGACCGCTGACAAGCATTTTTAACATGGACTGGCATTTTGCAAATAGACGGAAATTTTATTCAAAATAGTGAAAAATAGACAAGAAAACAAGGAAAAAATCTATTTGAGATGTTACGTTAAACCAAAGTGTAGCTGTTTGGCAATTATATATATAAAGGATATTAGGGACCAGTCATTATTTATGGTGGGGGGTGGCACCGAAGAGAAATGTTTTTTGTCGGAAAAATTTTGCTGACCCAACCATTAAAAAGTCAAAAATTTGATTACCCAACCTCAAATATCAATTAAAAAATAAATACCCACCCCTGGCCAAAACCTTTACAAAAGGATACCATTCAGTTGTCACACATGTTCTTTTAATTGCCACTTTTGTGACATGAGTTTGATAACGGCTTGTGAAATTTTCTGCAATCTTAACTTTCATATTGTCTGCACATGTAGTTTCTTTGGAGACACCATTTGTCTCCTGAAAAATCGGAAAATGATGAAGATAGTGACTTGATTCACATATTGTATTGACATATGATTGTTGACATTGCTTTTTAGTCTCCAATATTTCAGTGAGTCATGCTTTGGAAATGACAATATTTTTTTATTACCCAACCCTTGAGTTGTTTTGTTTTTCATTTACCCAACCGTTTACTTACTTAAAATTTTGTTTACCCAACCCTTTTCTCTTCGGTGCCACCCCCAGCCATAAATAATGACCGGTCCCTTAGACGGTTGCGAGGAGATATGGATTTTATGTTCGAGTGGCAAAAACAATATCTCACAAGTGAGCGCAGCGAATGAGTGAAATATTGTTTTTGACACGAGAACATAAATCCATATCTTCTCGCAACCGTTTAATGTTCTGTTTATTATATGGACTTATTCAGATAAAAATACACCCAAAGACGACATGTAAATAAGCACGCGGAAGACCAGTAAAGAAGCGATATTTTTTAAAATTATAATGCAAACATAAAACTAGAATAAATTTTACTTATCTCAAGATATCTCTTTTAAAGGTTTTATTTCCAACGTTAATTTGACACGCGCCCTTCGTGGAAATCAATATTTTTAATTGACGTAGTTAGCGTGTCAAGATAAAATTTTCTATCTATTTATTTTCTATCTATATCTAATTTCGTTTTATATACGAACCAAAGACCATTTGCACAACAACAATGAAAATGCCGGGAAATTTTCGAACTTCGTATGCGAATCGCAAGGGTAGAGATAAAAAATGTAGATTTATATTTTGAATATTGCAATTTATATTTATACTTTCACCCCCTGCCAAAAATTTTGGGAAAAAAGATTAATTATCGACTGGAATGTTTCATGTTTGATCAGTAATACCCCTACTCCAATCTTGATTCATCCTTTACTGGGGACCTTGGGGACTGAACTAACCTTGGCAGCCTACATATTGCAATATTGCTTGTAAACTGTGTTTATGCCAGGCCGCATTGTCCCAAAAAGCAAAACTCTATTTGTGTCAATTTGTAACCGCGATTAATAATTATCAGAAACTTTTTATCATGATGCGCAACTACTAATCTACATGAAAGCTATAGTATTGATGTATTTACTTGGCCAAGAAGCGTAACTACAACTGCATCGTTATGTGAGAATTTTTTTAATACCCATTAAAGTAGGTTTTGCACAGAGATTAGAGATATTGTACGTCATAAAGTTAGTCTATAGGTTCATGGCTATGGTTCATGCATGTCAAGGTGTCACAGTGTTACCGAATATTGTCATCGGTGTCAAATAGCTTGCCGGTGTCACAGGAAATTTGCCCCCCCCCCCCGAAAATCACCACTACCGCCGCTGCCACCACTACCACAACCATCACCACCACCATAAGTTCTTATACAGTTATCAAAGTTTAGTTAGCAAAGCGTCGCACATGCCTCGCAAAGCCATTCTTCATCTTCCGTTGGCTTGGCTTAAATTGGTACATGTTAGATGGTACCACATGTCACAAAGTCATGTCTGTAAAAAATATTTCTAAGTCTGTAGGCATAATTTGTTGAGCCCGTTTTTATATGTTAGCTTGTACTAAACTGTCCCTACTACACATTAATCTATCAACACCTCATCTATTGTAACACGCACTGGAAAAAAAATTGAAAATCCATAGAATGGAAATTGTATGGACCTTTATTGGAAATACTATATTTTCCAAATATTGATTTAACATGAAGTATCACTAATTGATCAACACTGAACGCAGGCTCGCGTTTACGTCAGTGTTGCCGTGGCAACACGATAATTCAGTACTTTTGTACAACACGGCAAAAAGATTATTGCTTTTAACTACATAAGGGACCGGTCATTAATTACAGGGGGGGCGGTGGAAATGAAAAACTAGATGCTAACATTTTGTTGACCCCCCCTTGAGGATAACACAATTATACTTGAACCCCACATGCAAATAACAAAAGGCACATTCGTAATTTATAGTTCATATAAAGTGAAGGCACATTTAATCATACTACCCTATGATAGTTACCAACTTTTTGGAAAAAAACCATTTGTGAGATTTTGCTTTGAGGGGTCCACGAGGCGCCAGCATAGTTGGTGCCGAGCGGAGAAATTTTGAAAATATGAAGTCTCCAGATCGTTGGAAATGGCATTTTCAGAGTCTTCTACACCTTATACAGACAAGTTTTGTTAGCTTTTAATTAGATATACAAAACAATATTGTTGAATACCCACAAGTACGAGGTTGCACGAAGTGATGTTTTTATTATCTATTTTTGACGTGAATTTTTTCAGAAGAAAAAAGTTTTATGTAATTTGACGCAAATGAAGTCACTCTTCATAGTTAAAATGTGCAACAAAGCCAACATATTTAAGAACCAGTTGGATTATTTTCGAAATCCGTGAGAATCCGTGAGATATTAACAAGCTGTGAGCTCACCGTGAGGTTTTAGTAAATCATCCATCACATGCGCGCTCATGGTGGATCGGTGAGAGTTGGCAACTATGCCCTATGTACATGTATCGTAATTTATATATTCTTTACCATTTATTGAGTCAACGGCTGTTCCAATCTACATGTTTATCATTTGAAATCAGTTTAATGAATGGTGTTGTGTTGGAGTTTACTACAGTTTTACTGCTCTCTATTTTTTATCTGTAGGTTTTATGGTACGACAGGGCCCGGTCATGCGGGGCAGGTATTTATATTGCACAAAAATTTTTGGCCCCCCCTTTTTTCATGCACAAAAATATCTGACCCCCCCCCTCCTTTTCCACCAGCCCCCCGCCCCCCGATGTAATTAATGACCGGTCCCTAACAATGAATTTCCGAAATATGTACTGTAGGTATGTTGTTCTGGATTTTGTGAGCTTTGATCTAATGTAAAATTAAACCTGAATCGCTTCGTAAAATGCTTTGAAATGTTCATTTTAATAACTAAACTGCTTTACCGATAAACTGTTTTTACTTCAAATTGTTAGTAATTTCAGTTAGGTCTTCAAATTAATTTGCTCTCCTTTACATTTTACCTTTTTTTCTTAAATTAAACAGGGTAATTTAGGAAACTTACAGCTTCATTGAAAAGGAAAACAGCAGAGCAATCATGTTTTACGCAATAAATTATTAAAGCTACAAAATTCATAAACATTAAACATTCAAAGCAAACTTGCCCTATATTTCAATCAATTCTTCTCATTTCTTCAAACAAAAATTGCTTCAAAGTTCATTGTGTGAAACGTAATTTTCCAAGTATATGCCTTTGAAAATTGAAATCTTGCTTTAATATCCTCATTGTGCTTATCCCACTCCTGGCAAACAGCCATATTTTTTAGATCAGTGAGGAGGTCCACCCATGAACCATAGTCACGTGCCCACCAGAAGAGGAATGAGGGTCTTCCCGAAATGCAACGCGCAAATCAGTGCGGCTCATTACTATTCAAGATATTTATTCTCAACGCGCCGTTCGATTAAAAACTGTTGAAATATATTGCGATTTTTGCTGTGAAGAACTCGTTTTCTCAAAGGTATGTTTTGATAACTTTTTTGCTTAGTAATTTAATAAAAGAAGTCTTGAATAATTTTGTACATATATCGCATTTTACTTATATGTTAAATTCCCATTGTATTTATGCATGTTTTGGGTCAATGAACATGACGTTCAAAGTGGCATTGAAATATTCACGAGTAAATTGTACTTTTTTACAAGGAAACTAAAATATAATCACATGAGTGAATTCAGGAATGTTTACTCTTTATAATGATACTTTAAAACATGAATTTACTCCATAAAACCGAAGAGTTATCGCGGTTTGAAAATGAGCTATTTTTGCTATATGCTATATTCTATATAAATAGCAAAAATATCTCATTTTCAAACCGCGGTAACTCTTCGGTTTTATGGAGTAAATTCATGTTTTAAAGTATCATTATAAAGAGTAAACATTCCTGAATTCACTCATGTGATTTTATTTTAGTTTCCTTGTAAAAAAGTACAATTTACTCCAGAATATTTTAACGCCACTTTGAAGGCAGGGCCGTAGCAACCCCCGGGGGGGCTGCCCCCCCCCCCAATAATTTGCTAATAATCATTCTTTTTTCAAAATCATGCAGACCTTTATCATTTAATCCGTGACAAACTGCAAAGAATGAAGATATTACCCATACTTTCCTGCAACTTATTCAATATATAGTTAATTAAATACGCCTTCGCCCATTTAGTACTACTAAATTGTAAATTTCGACATACTAAAACGCTGTTTTCTGACTATCAGAATTCTGTTAAATTTTTTCCCAAAGTCCAGAAAATGACATTTCAGAGACTCTAAATTTAAAAATTTCCTCGGGCCCTCGCTTTCACCCCCCC